CCATATCGATATGCAACTGAAGCAATTACGCTCTTCTGATTGGCTAAAACAAGTGGATTTTTCATGTAACCCCAGTACAAAGTTGCAACACAAATGAAAGTTACAAAGAACGCGCGCTGTTTTGTATTGACTTTAAGTGATGCTATCTCGATGTAGATTATTAATAAGTGTTAACATTATTTTTTTTCGAAAAAGCCACCCGGCCCTGCTGCCCTGAGGGCCTAAATGCGATAACTTTCCTAAATATAATAAAGTCCTGAATGTAATCTCATTTGCTCCTACTTGCAATAAAGTCATCCTGACTGTAATTACGGTTGGACCTAAATGTAATGGGCTCTCATTGTAGTCATTTAACTGCGTTAAGACCACTAGCAAATTGTTGTTATGGCGGACATCCTCTTTGAGATGTTGATGTGACAGCTGTTGCACCAGAAAATCCTCTGACCAGTATTCATGGTATATTTCGGGTTTGCTGATATTAATAAGCGTCTTTTTATTTGCTAGAGACGTGGGTCGAGATGCATTGGCTACAAAATCTTATACCGATGTGTTTTTGGCATTATATTGACAGACGTCAAAACAATATCTTATATCACGGGTTCAGACTCTCTAGTGCAACAGATTCTGACGATATACTTGGGTGATCAGTGATGAAGTTAACACTTCTTGAGCCAAGTTACAAGAAAACGTAGGTCCACTGACCAGTACGTTAGACAAAATTCGGGTACGGAAATGCACTTTTTGCACTGTCCTCCCTTAACAGGTATGTTTGGGTGAGCAAAAAAATATATTCAGGTGCATTATTGATCAAACGTGAGGTCAAGATGGTTGGATATTGGCCGACTTCTTTTTTGCAGTTTTATCGACCGAGTTCGAGCAAGGCTTAAAAAACGTCGTTTGCTATAAAGAGGGTTTCCGGCTTTTTTTAGAATTTTCACGATCTTTATAGACCATCTACCTATCCCATAATAATGCTAGTAATGCTAAAACAAGAACAACCGAAAACAATAAATCCCATGTTGAATCAATACAAGTATTTGCTTACTAACCTCGAACTAGATCTCAAAGAAAACTTTCGGAATATTTCAAAGGCTCGTGTAATGTTTTTTAGTCGGATCTGCACTTATTACTATTCTTTATTATCACCGATAAAAAATTCGTTGCTATATGAACTCAAGAATTTTTTAAAGTCAGTTCAACCAATCAGAACAACGTTGTTGGGCAAGTATCATTTTGTGTTACTGTCAGCTATTTTTAAACTAGACGGTTATACTCTTTACGAGAATGTCATTCTCAAAGTGCCGACTAAGTAGAAGAAAAGCCCGTTTCAGAGTCATGTCATACTGTTTTATCTAATTTCTGATCGGTAATGAGATTAGCGCGTCTAGCAAACCTTGTTTCTTTATGAAGGTATTGTACAGTGTACAAATTATTTTGTCAGTTGTCATTTGATACTAATTGTTCATGAGTACTATGGTTTGCAGCCAATGCTTCTCGACTGAAGAAAGTTAAAAGTCGCTGATAAATATCAGCGAGCCTGCGATGTGACATGAATGTTGGTCAGAGGATTTGTTAAACGCATAAAAGCTGTCACTGACACACCTCAATGTGGATTTGCACTCTAACAAAATTTCGCGGCCGGAGTTCAACGATTGGATTGGAGGCTTATAACATTTAGGACTGATTATCATTACATTTAGGACTTAGTTTATTAGTTTCGCCTGTATATATATATACAATAACAAAAATATTAGTAAGAATATATCTTCGAAAATGTCAATAAAAATTTAAATACAATAAGAAAAATATTACAACAAATACAGTCAGGGGTGCCACAATAGCCGACACCCAATTACTGTGGTCCCAATTTAAAACCGATATTACAAAATATTTATAAATGCAAGATCAAAAACAGCAACGAACACTTACAGACAAATTACAGGTTACATTACAAGAAGGAGATATTGATTTCCAGGTTTTGGCGTCCTTATGGTCATACCACTTTGATAGAGTGGTAAAATAGTATTGGTACAGAATAGACTTAAATCGATTAATATTTAAGTTTAAGGAGAGTTCCAAATCGTTGGCAAGGCAGTCCCAAGTTCTGACAGTTCTGTTAAAAAACGATCTTTGTAAGGTAGTTGTTTTACATCTTCTTTTCAGAAAGTGAATGACATTAGGATTGCTTTTAGATCTACGAGCTCAACGGATTTGGGGAGAACTTCAGAATTTACATATTCTAAGCCAGTTACTGCTTTAAAAAAGAAAATCATGTCCATTAGCTAATGCCAGTAGGATCTTGGGAGAAGGTTCAGTTTTATTAGCCTGCTTCTGTAAGATTCTTCACATCGAAAGGGCAAGACCAGGATAAACTTCGACGCACGCCTCTGAACTCGCTCTATCTTCTGCATAAGTGCTATAGACTGAGGGTTCTATACTTGTGTTGCATAACTAAAATTAGACCTTACTAGAGCAATGTATATAGAATTTCTTACTATGCCACTCTTGATGAATCTTGTGTTGCGCCTGATAAACTCCTAGCAGTTTGTTGGCTTTTGCGCATTGTTTGCTAACTTGCTTCGTCCAGGTTAAGTCGTCTGTGACAAGTGCGCCCAGGTCTTTTTCTACTTTGGTGATTCCGATGTCTGTTCCGCCCATCTGGCAGTTATGGCGCACAGGATTCACCTTCCTCGTGACACGTTTCGCTTTGCATTTGCTGTAGTTAAACGGGAGTCCGGCAGAGTTGGACCAAGAAACAAAGTTAGAGAGGTCTTCTTGGAGATCTTTTGAATCGCATGGCGACTTGATTGCCTTGAATATATTTGTGTCGTCCGCAAAAGTCGCAATCTGACTTGAATGGGCTACATCGGGTAGCAGATTTGCGTAGAGCAGAAACAGCATACGACCGAGTATTGAGGCCCGGGGCACTCCGGACGTCACGGGGAGGGTCTTGGATGTTGCACCTATAGCTGTAACCCCCTGGGTGCGGTTGCAGAGGTAAGATTTAAACCAGGAAAGTAAGTTTCCGCCGAACCCGTATTGTATTAACTTTTGCGAGAGCCTGTGATGGCTAACCTTACCGAAAACCTTGGACATGTCTACATAAATGATGTCAGCTTGTCCCCCATTATCAAGATATGCGCCAATTTGATAGAGTACACCAACAAGCTGTGAGACAAGACCGACCCGCTATAAATCCATGTTGGCATTTGGCGATTACACTTAGCATAATTTATGGTCTTTGATGTTATTGAATATGCATCAATCTAACACCTTTAAGAGAATAGGCAATAATGAGATCGGCCTGTTGTTCTCCACATGATCTTTCCGGTCTTTCTTGTAAACTGGAACTACATTAGCAAGTTTAGAGTCTTCTGGAAGAGTTCCTAGTCTCAGTGATTTGTTGAATAGATCTGTAAATGAAGGAGCAATCACTTCTGCCATTCCCTTGAGGATCCTCGCTGGTAACTGATCTGGTCCCGTCGCCTTAATTTGGTCTAAATTCTGCAGTACTTCTACGACTTTTGAGGTTGTAAGAGTGACGTCACTGATAAGCTGATCCAAGTGATGTTGTGCTTGGTCGGTTTCCGAACTTTCTGGTCTGATGTAAATACTGACGAAGAGTATTCATTGAATAAGACAGCTACAGGAGTTGGCGCGGAGGCCTGGACACTAAGAGTGTCCCTTGTTGCCATGGTGATTGTGTCTGGGACATTTTATTATAGACTTTACTTTCAGGACCGACCAAAAGCTTTTGGAATTGGTTTTTAAGATTGAGCTCCATACTATCAAAAAATGCATCGCGGCTCTCACGAAGTCTCTGCTTGATTTCCGAGCGAAGAACTTTGAACTTATCTTTCAGGAGGGTTGATCTGCTTAGCTTTATTTTTTTGCGTAAATGTTCTTTCTTGTTGATCAAGTTTATTATCGAGCCATTGATCCAAGGAACCGGGTTTCTTCCCTTAAGCGTCTTTTTGGGGATGAAGTCATCTACCGCGGCAAGTACGGCGTCTTTCCAACGGCGCCAGTCATTGTTGACTTCAATGTCGTGATCAGCAGATATTAGGCTGGACAAATTTGCCGCGTG